TTCTGTGGGCTGAGGGTTTCTGTGACCATCCTGAGTATCTGGGCATGAAAATATGCATCTTATATATCTTATATATGCATCACAAATAACTGCTGAACCTCTTGATCCATCTAGGCAGAAAAGCAGCTTTTCCAAAAATAACAGATTCCCACAGATTTTGTAGTAGTAAGAGCCAGAGGAGAGAAAACTTATGAATATCCTGCTCTCCACCAGCTCTCAGAGACAGAAGAGCACTTTGCCACCCAAACCCCCCATGAGACAGATTTTCCTGTTAGAGGGAGGCCAGTTACTCCAGGACCATTACTCCTCCAACCTTTTGGCATCACCTTGCACCCCTTCTAAAGGTGAGCCCTTGGATGGAGGCTGCCTTTGCTACCAAAACATCTGCTCTGTATGGCAACAACACAACTTTTCAAGATGCTGTGCTGATCTTTTTGTTCTCACCAACCACGAGGAGCTGGGGTGAGTCAAGGCAAACTCCTTGGATGCGTAATAGTGATTGCCTTTCAGATGCTTGAAAATGCAATAGCTTGACATCAAATGAGGGATTTTTATGGCTGCACATGTTTTGTACTTCTCTGAACAAGCCAACTTCCAGATTAGCTACATTGGCTTTTTAAAGTGCTATAAAATATGCAAAGGCACTTGTAATGTATAGTGATTTCTGTAAAAAACAGGAGGTAAGTGCTGAAATGCCTCCTGATTTATAGTTTTGCTTCTGCTAACCCATGCTGGGAGAAGGGGTAAATGCAATCCTCTATTCCCTTTTTGGCTTCTTCAAGCCCAGAGGCAGATGGAAGACAAAATGCCGGGTACTACAGAGCTTGTGCCTTTCAGCCACTCTGGTAACTGCAGAAGAGAAAACCTTCTCAATTCCTGGGTATCACAGCCAAAGCCACACACAGCAAACACCTTTCCAAGGTGCAGCACAACGTGAATGGCAAAGCTTGACCTTTGCAGCAGCACCTGGCTGGGGCAAGGCAAGCCAGGCAGCAGCTCCCACCAAAGTGCTGGACCTAATGCTGGATGGAGGGTCCAAAAGAGCAAATCACCATGATGGATCACGTTAGCAAGGTCAGGCCTTTGCTGTCCTGACAGCAGGGTCACCTTGTCTCCACCTCTTGTTCCTGCCCCTCTGTTCCTTCACACTGCTGTGACACAGCCAGAAACCCACAAGGCTGTGCAATGGGGTTGCTCCCCCTGTCACTTGCTTGTGTTGGCTTAAGTATACATGCTGAACCATTACCAAACATCACGTCTCCCACAGATGTCTCAGGGGCTGGGCTTACTTTTTGCTAAAACTGAGCCGTACAGAGGCTTGGCAAACGAAAACATCCCCGCGACTGAGGCTCCCATTTTCTGAGTCTGGATGGGAGGAATAAAGTATCACTTCAAGCTCCATTTTAGCTTGAGGAGAACAGCATAATTTATGGGAGCCAAGCAGGTTCTTCCCCTCCCCTGCTCCAGAGCCAAGCTGTCCCCTCACCATGCCAGGGTCAAGGCAGCTCTGCCACCACCGAGGGCTCTGTGGTCAGTGCCACAGCCACTGCTGGCACTCAGTGCCACAATCACCACCAGCCAACACAAAGGCAAGTTTTACAGCCCTTATCTGGCGTGGCTCAGACAGTGCCTCTGGAGCAGAGGATGAGTCTTTATGAGCTGGAAGTTTTTAAGCGCGTGCCTTAGTGCCAGGCGTGTTCAAACCCATCCATCCCTGCAGAGCAACTGCACCTCTCTGCTGCCAGCATGAACAGGTAGACCCACCTGGGCTGCCTCTCGCATCCATTTTTACACAACCTGGAGGGTCGGCAGACCTCAAATCTTTAAATTAGCCCTGTGCATTTTTATATAAAAGCGACACTTACCTTTAGTGGAGTTTATACAACATGGATTTCGTGTGCTTTGTTACTGCAAATTAAACATAATTGTTTAACAACTGCCAGTAGTGCTCTGTGTAACCAGCAAACGCATGACTGCATCCTGAAAGCTGTTTAACATGACCAAGGTTAAAATGCAGATTGTTTTTAAGGTTTTGCGTACATTTGCTGTCAGATAAGAAGTGCCAAGTCTAGTGCTTGCAAGTGTGAGCTGGCTGGACTGGGCACCTCCATGCCACCATCAGAATGATGGAGGCTTGTTTGAAAACACCTCAGTTCCCTGGCTGTCATCATGTTGCTGAGAGATATATGAGGGGAGGAGATGTGGAAAGGGGAACATGTCATCAAATGTAAAAACCACACAGCAAAGACAGAATCAAGTCTTAAATGTTAAATGATCCTTCATTTATATTAGCAGCTCCTGCTGCTTGGTCCCTGCTCCATCCTCAGGGTGCCAGAAGCCTCTCCTCCTCTCATTTCTTTTTGGGGGTGACACTGAGCCAGCACACAGCAGAGAAGCTGGATGAGCAGTGCTGGCTCTCCTGCTGAAGTCCTGGGACATGAGCATCCACCCTTTTGTTTTTGAAAAGACTGGGGATACAAACCTGTGTTTTCCAGCTAATTGCAGAGAGCTGGAACGGCAAAACACAGCAGTATTTGCTAACTGCAAATATTTGGAGACCTCAGTCCAAACTGGATTGATGCACCGAGTGTAAACATGGGCAGGGAGAGTGCTTTGGGCACTCCAGCATCTCATGGCTAATTAAAGCTGGGAGAAATTTGTCTCAGCAAGTTGTGAGCCGTGTACTTCTCCGGTGTGACTAAGCCACTGTGCGATATCTAATTTACCAGGAGGGGTGATGTGCTGCCAGCTAACCATGTTCCTGCAGGCAAGGTGGGCTAATTGAATGCAGTTTGATGCTTCAAGGCAATCCTGCCTGCCAGCTTACCTGCACCATCCCAATCCCAATCAGCCTAGCAAACAGCAAGACAGCTCAGTGGGAATTGTAATTGTGAAGGAGTATTCAAAAAATCCTGACAAAATCCAAGGGCCTGACCAGAACGACGGGTTCTTGTGGTTTATGAGTGGCTGTTTTTCCAGTGAGGCAAATTGGGTTCTCCTCTTGCAACCAAGCAATGCTGGAACATGCTCCTACCACTCACAGGACCTCAAGGCTCTCAATCTCCTCTGAGTGCTGTCCTCAACCACAGTAAGAAAGTTGTGGTGCTGCCTTGCCTTGTATTAGTGATGCAAGTATCAAAATTAATTTCTCTATAAATAGCTTACTACCGGTGATTCTTTCCTTTGTCTCCAGTTCCAGACGGAGAGAAGGAAGTCACTCCAGCAGCAACAGCACATTTAAAAGCAAAAAGACATTTCTCAGAGAGTACAATTGAGTTACAACAGATGTTGGAATTTGGGGACTGCCCTCTGCACCCCACAGGTCCTCCCTGGGGAAAGGCAGAGGAGCTCAGAGGTCCTAGTTTCCATTTCATATCTCTATTGTTTCCCTGGGGTGAAAATGCTTTTTTCCTTACCTTTCCAGCCCAACCTGATTCACAGGCCAGGCTCATCCCAGTTGACATCTGGCCCCATTTTGCAGATGTGCCAGTTTTGGCCCATTTGCCAAGGAGTCAGTGTGGCACAAGGAGCTCTGCCCTGGGCAAGGGTAAGAAAACAGCCGCCCTCCAGGGTTTTTGGTGGTCTCCACACACTGGCAAGCCTCCAAAGGTCTCCTTCTGAGCACCTGGGAATCCTCACCTGCCCCCATTCACCTGGTACAACCTGCCCTGGGGGGAGGTGATCTTGCTGGCTGGATTAATGCTGTCGCTTCCATATTTTGTGGGGTCGGTGGCACTTCTCCTCAGCCAGCATTAGAGTCAGTCAGCCACCATCTCCACAGCAGAGAGGCTCCCAGAGGACAGGCTGAAACTGCTCATCTGGAGACAGAGATCATTTTTAGAGGGAAATCCTGTTCACTTCCCAAAGTGAGGTAGGTTTTTACTGACGCACAGCCCCAGCCAAACACACTTGTGGCACCAAGTGCATCACTAAAAGAAAAGGGCTTGCTCTGTCAAAATGGAGCTGTGGTTTCCAAAGCTAACAGGGAGAAAAGGCACTGTAAATACCTGGAGGAAGCGTGGGCATGGCTTATTAATAGACACTTGCTGTGAGACTTTAGGCTTTATGACAAGGCTTTCAGTGTCCTCCTGATGTCCTCAGATGCCCCGTTCCTGTACTGAGCTCTGGGCTCTGTAACCATGCAGCACATCCATCAGACCTGTCAAATTAGATGGGGCACAGAAGATGGGTTAATGCAGCTCATACCAATTCTTTAATTACCTGAGCATCCACCATCCATGTTCAGCTGGTCGGGAGAAGCTCCTGTCCCTGTCTCCTACAAAGGATCAGATCTGGATGGGTACAGAGTAGGGCTTGAGGAAGGCAAGCAAGGATGCTAAGTAGAGTCATTCCTCAAAAACCTGAATTTCAGGGGTTTAACATTGCCTGAGCTGCCTGAAGGAGTTAATTGTGTTATCTTTACACCCTGATTCATCCACTCATTCCCCAAAAGGCTGCACAAAGTACTTGTTCTCTGGTTTCTCTCCTGTGCTGCTGTCAAGACAGCTCCTGAGTTTTGCATCAAAAGCCACTCCCTGACATTTAAGGCTATTACAGCCTGGACCAAGTTTATGCATTCCTGCTTAGCAAAGCCTAGTCTAACATAGGGTGCCTATATCCTTTGACTTCTTTCCCAAAGAAAGCCATAACACCCCATGTAAATGCTGGAGCAGTACCCAGTCCCCACGCTGACACACTACAGGCATCTCAGCACAGTCACACAGGCTGTGTTGCCTTTTTTTCAAATACAGGCTTTTCCATCAGGCAGAGTATTGGATAGATGGACTGGTTTTGGAGAAAATTGGCTATTTGCCTAGGGAGGAAAAACAGTTCTCAAACAGCCCTCCTGCCCCAGGTGATGCTGGTGAAAGCATCCATGGGCAGTAAGGAACCTTCTCAGAGTATCTTCAAACTCCTGAGCTATTTCAGCATTTCTCTTCTCAGCTTGTGGATTGCTCAGGGCCCAAAGATGCACAGACTCATGTCATTAAATGGCTCTTTCTGTTGACATTTTTATTTTTAGGAAACATTACCGAAACATTCACCATTTCTGCTTAGAGGTAATGGAAAAAGAGGTAAGCTCCAAATTCTGGGTGATGGGGACCTCAAGCCAGGCAGCCAAGCTGGGCTGGGATATGGCCTGGATTCTCTACTGTGTTTACAGTCTGTGCCCTGAGCAGGGACATGGCTGAATTGTGGCAGTGTCCTCAGCAGTTGCTGGCCACTCAGACCCCTCCTCAGGAGGTTAAAAGCATCTGTGTGCTGAAGACAGGCTGGGATCAGCAGCAGCCAACCTAAGCAAAACCTCCCTCAAAGAGACTGCTGAGCACTCAGGGATGCTGCCTTGCCCAGGATTCTGACCCAAAGGGACATCCACGGACAGCCTTGGGTCTGCAGGGGTGGAGGACGGGAGGCAAGCTGTGTTTCTTCCTCAGGATCAGTTCTGTGGCTTCACCCTGGATCCCTCCCCACTCTCTGTCAGGCAGGTCTGCAGAGGAGAATATCCTGGAAGAGAGAGAACAGGAGTTACTCCAGACTGAATAAAGCCATTGCAAAATACATTCCTCTGACATCTGCTCACCAGTGGGATAGTGCTGGAAGGATGTGAGTCGGACTGTTTACACTCTTGCCTTTCTGTCCTTCCCAGACACAGGGCTGGGCTGGCTCCATCACACCCCGACACACTCTAGTGCTGCTGAAAGGACTGGTGGATGCATTCCTTGCCTGATTTCAGTGATGTGGCCATGGTAACCCATTGGACCTAGAACCAACTGCCCCAAGAAAGCCACAGGACTCAACCCAGCAGCCACCTATCAGAAGCCATAATGTACCTGGCAGTAAAAGAAACCCCCCTGAGCAGCAGCATCAGGGGCACAGAGGCTCAGCTAACTTCTTTCTGCCTTCTTTCTGTCCCAGATTGTGATGGAAGCATGGGATACTGGAACAAGTGCTTGCAGTGGGTGGTGACTGCAGTGCTGTCATACTCAGGCTTTGTCCTCACCTGGGGACCTTGCCTGTGCTCTCTGCCCTGCCCATTATGCCTGGCACAGGCAGCAAGGGCTACCCACCACCCCAGGACTCAACCACTCAGGAGGAGCCACCAGGTGATAGCTGACTAGAGAGGGAAAGCACATCTTTTGGAGGGGTTTTGAATTTGAGAAGCTTTGGCAAATTTTAAGTCACTCCAGTTTTGCCCCTTGCAGTAATCAGTGGAATATTTTGGAAGTATCTGTCAGAAAACCAAGTGTGCCACCAAAACACAAATGTGAGGTGGGGGGGGTGTGTGTGTGTGTGTAAATTAAAAATTGAGGTCAAAGTCATCATATTCTCTCCCTGATTTTCACGTAGATGCTATCGTAAGCCGAGACACCATCACACGCTGTACACGTGTGGGATCATGTACTAATTGATAGCTAATGTGTCCCTTTTCCTGGCCGTTACCAACATCAAAACACTCCTATTCTCTGCAAAACCCTTTTCCAAAGCACTGGCTTCGCCCTGTGGGGTTGCTGAGGAGCCCATCCTGTGCAGCCCACGGTGGGTACTCGCAGGGTGCTGATGCCAAAGCGGCGCGGCCACAATCGCCCCGTTGTGTAAAACGTGGAGCGCCGGGTGCAGGAGGGAACACTTGACCACAAAGACCTGAGCTGTGCTTAATAGGGCTCTTGTAATGTTCACCCGCTAAGAGCCTTAACTTCTTACTGCATTTTGCCAGGGTTTAGGCAAAGCAGGGCTCCCAGCAGGGCGCTGGATTGATTTCCTTTCCCATGAAAAGAGACTTATGACTCTGTATTTGTTCCTTGTCCCCAAATCCTGTTTTTTCCAGGTAGAGGAAAGAGGAATTTGATGGATTATAATTAAGAAGGTGTTGTTCTGAACAAGAAGGGTACAGGAAGGTCAGTGCAGGATGTGTCTGCGTTGCCTAAGGAAAAGATGTTTTAGTGGGAAAAGCCCCATGAGAGAAGGGCTTTAGGGTACTTCTTCCCCAAAGAGAGCAGGTGAGTATTTACAGGCACACACTGGTTGAGTTTATTTTGGCTGTAGGTGGACACTGGACTTTCTAGGTCTCCCTCATACTCTACAGTGATGCTCAGCAGTGGTAACAGTGACAGGAGGTGGATATTTGTACTGCTTGAGTTAGGAAGCCCCACTGCAGCTTAGGCATCAGGAAGGAGACCACAGAGACAAGACCATAGAGCTCAGATATATAATAAAACATAAGTAACTGCTAATATATAATATAACCCTTCCCAGGCCTCCAGCACCATTCACCCCAGAGCCCCAGAGCACTGCACAAACAGTAATTAAAACTTCCCAGCCCCCAGCTTTGCCAATGGTGCTGAATTCATTTTCCAGTGTGGGAAAATAAGCCTTTCATGATTAAGAGAGACAACGCAATTTCAACAGCAGGAGAGTTACTGATGACACATAAGCTGGGGTGTGAGCCCTGGTGCTTCCCTGGCAACAGGAGGCTTTTCAAGATGAGAACAAGTGGCTTGTCTCTTCTCCATCATGCACACTATGCATATCTATTGCTGCAGTGGGCAACACAAGACTACCAGGTACATCCATTCAGTCCCAGTAGCTACAATCTAATTCTGCTTTGCAGAATTAGAGGCTGCAGGGAAGCAAGGAGCACAGGAGGAAGATGCCTGTGATGAGCCCCTTGTCCAGTTGCTCCTCCTGAAGCATCAATCTGCCTTTATCAAGCACTGGCAGGTTCAGTGTGCCCCCCTGCTGACCATACAGCTGATTTCCTTCCCCAGAAACATGATGCCAGAAACATCCTTCAAGAAGGAAAGGGATACTGGAACAAGCAAGAGCTTGGCTTAGTTCAAAGTTTGCATGCAGACTAGAAACGCTGACCCTTTGCTTTCTGGTTTACTTTACACAGTAACAACAGTCCAACATTAAAAAGCCTGTCTCTCTCCTGGTTCTGGCCTGCTCCATGCTCTCTGGAAACCCTGGGAGAAAAATCTTACATTGTTGGATGTGGACACAGCCCTTGGGTTCAATATGAGCCTGTAGGAGCTACTTGACAACATCTGCTGCTTTGGGGTTTCGCTGGAGCCCTTGGCTAACATTCCCTTCCCATGGTTAAGGTGCTGGTCGCCAGTGCCAACCCAGGCAGAGCCTGGTTCCTTCCCCTCTTACCCACCCCTGCCTTGCAGGCAGGCCAGCCAGATCCCCCTCTGCCTCTTAATAGCTTAGGGAATGCTTAAGGACCTTCTGGGAGGAAAAAGCAATTTTAACACAAAATTACATTTCTGCTTCAAGGAAACAGGGTTATCTCCCTGCTCTGCCACCACTGCCTCACCTGGGGCTGACATCGGGCTGTCTGGAAACACAGGGCTTGATGAGACATCCCATGGCAGAGGAGAAGGGTCCAGAACACCAGACATTCAGGCTCCCCCCACCTTTGGGCTGTTTCCAGACACATGCCAGCACCACCTGTGTCTGCTTGCTCCAGGGAGTGCTCCTGTGGTCTCCCTGCAGCTGGGGAAGCGCTCATGGAGCCGGCAGTGCTGCGCAGAGCATTATTAGTTATTTGTAATGGATTTTCCATACCTGTCATTATTTCCAGCCCTGATTCTAGAGAAAGGGACAGTCACTCTGCTGGGAGGTGGGCTGGCTCAAAGGGCTTTGCTGAAGCCTGTGGTTTTGCAGTTCAGCTCTAGAGAGGGCTGGGGACTCACTCTGCTTCTCTCGTCATCCCAGCAGGCTGATCTCCATGGAGAAAGGGGATCCGGTTTGGGCTCACTGTGCTTCGTGTGTGAAAGGGATGGCCCTCTGTAAAGGAAAAAGAGAGACCTGGAAATCTGCTGCTTTCATTATGCTTTCTTTGGGGCTAACTTGGTTGTTGGAAATCGATGCAACCATGAAGAAAGTAGCCCAAGGGACTCTGCTCAGAGTGCCTAATGCCTATTAAATATATAGAGAGAGCTGGGAGAGAAGTAGCAGCACTGCAACAGGGAAATATTCCCTGTGGATGATGTGATTTCCAATTAATTTCTCATGGAGGGGGTTTCCCACTTGCCCAGCAGGCCTGGGGGAGGCCAGGAAAGTGCAGCAGAGAGCAGACTACCCCGCACAACAGTTTCACAGTCCTCACTCCACCACCCTTCTAGAACACAAAATTTATGTTTTTCACTCCAAGCCAAAATGATGCCAAGCTACAGCTATCAAAATCCTTCAGGCCAAAGCCATGTTCTTTCTCTATCCCTGCTGTGATCTGAAAGGTGATTTCCCAGCTCAGAAGAACTATCAGAGCAATTACTGTGAGGGAGCCATTGTGGGGCTCACAGTGAGCCCCCACTGCCTGGCATAGCTGTGCCAGCACAGCCCCACCACCCACTGCAGCTCATTTACAGCAGCAGAGCTGGGGCAGAGACTGGGCCGAGCTGGAAGGGCACAAGGTTTCTGCTCAGATGGCACCCTCTGTTTCTAACCTGCTAGAACTGTAACAAAGCCACAGGTAAACAGGAATGGCACTTCAGTTAAGCTGGATCAATCAGAAACGATTTCCCAGATGGCAGCAGCAGATGGAGGAGAGCCCACCCTCACCCAGTAACACGTGGCCGAGGGTCACTTCTGCAGGGAGAGAGGCATGGGGCTGAAAACAGCATTTGTCTGAACTGATGGCCGTGAAGACATTAGAAGGAAAGTTTCCTTTGGAGCAAAGGGGGTAGGTCTCTGCTTTCACTTACCATCTATCTGTGGCAGCTCTTTCCTCCTCTTGGCACCCGGTTCTCATCCCTCAGCTGACATCCCATGGCACAAAACACTAATCACATCCTCCTCCTAAGACGAGATAACAGGGAAAGAGGCTTGGCAGGACAAGGGACCTCCCAGCAGCCCCTGCAAAGCCAACCTCGTGGCCTGGGGTCCCCTCATGCAAATCCCTGTGGTTCTTGTTTGCTGAGCTGGGACAAAGCGGGCACTGGGGCTTTAGCAGATGTTGGTCAGAAAATAACTGTGAGAAAGGAATAAACCAATTAATTGCTGACCCACTGACAGCCAACACCTCTCCCCCACCACCTCCTGCACAATAAAACCTGTCTCAACAGCTCAAGCAGATTTAGGGTGGCTGCAAAGAACCTAGAGGAGAAAAAAACCCCTTTCCCACTCCAGCTAATAATATTTCCAGATAATCTGTTTGAGGCAGTACCCTCTGTGAACCAGGAAAGCCTTTAAGAGCCGTTAACACCTTTATTCAGACTTCCTCATCCTCCCCCAGACAAGCTGTGATTAATTACCCAATCCACCCCGATCCCCCTGGGAAATAGCTCTTGGTCTGGGCGTTCATCCCAGGATTTGCAGGGTCCCTCTGTGAGACCAGCTCCTGCTCTTGCCGCTGGCTCCAGATAAGCAGGAAAGGGCTGATAGGGAATAAACTGCTTCCAGCCATGCACTTACATCAGCAAGGGTGGTGGATGAGGGGAGGAGAGTTTAATGAGGGGTCTTGGCAATGTTCATGCCTTTTTTTTTTGGCTGGTGTCCACGGGCATCACCAGATGGACTGTCCCTGGAAGCCCATCTCTGGGAAGTTGCCACTGGAAGCAGAGCCTGTTTGGTTCCCACCTGGATTTTCAAAGCCCTCTTTCCAACTTCATAGCTCTCTGACTTGGCTTGCTCTGAGGATACTTGCTTTCCTACCATTTTCCAGCACTACCAGAGGTGTTGGGGATGGCAGAGAGGAAACGGAATTACTGCCTCTCAGGTTGCTGGAGTATCTGGGGTGCTGTGCCTGGGAGGTGCCCCTGTGTAGGGTATTGCCAGACCAAGGCAGCTCATAAAACTCACTCTGTACATGCACTCTCCTGCCTGTGCCGCCTTTGTCCATCAAACCCCAGGGTAACCCTCCCATCCCTAAGGCTGCACACAGCCCTTCCTGGCCACACAGAGGGAGCATCTGAGTTGCCACAAGGTCACGGCATTGCCAAGCAATCAACTGCACCCAAGAGGGGCAAATTCTCCTTGTACCAAACAGCAGTCTCCACTGCATTACAGATGACAGACACTAAGCCCATGTCTGTCCACCACAGCCCTTCATCCATGGTAACCGTAGTCCTCAGGTTGTGTAAGGATTTACATGTTAATGCCCATCCTGCCCCAATCCCCTCTGCTATGGCAGGGTGGAGGCACAGGTCTTCTGGGGGGACTATGGTAGTGTCACACACATGGTTTATGATTTCTCTCTCTATACAAAGGCCCCACAAATCCCCCTTCTTCAAGGGAGACCTGTGTCTCCCCATCACACCCACAAGACCTGCCCACATTCTTGCTGGGGGGGTGTGAGAGAGGGGTGCACTGTGGGACTGGCATGTCCACATTGTGCAGCCATGGAAAACCTATAATTGAGGAGACAACTGCCACAGCAGCCTTCCTTACAGGTTCCATGGTTTCATGACACTTGGAGGAGCTCCTTTCTGTTGAACCTTCCCCCTTTGGCACCCAGTGCTGTCCAAGAAATCACCCCTGTGCACTGCATATCATCTGCTGGCCTATTTACACCTCAGAGATATCCTGGCCCACCACCACAAAGCAGCACCTGCCATCACCGTTTTCTACCAGCCACCTCTAGAAACCTTCAGCCAGGAAATAAAATCAGACAGCACAGCAGCAGCTCAGGGGTCTCAGACAGTTTTGCAAATGAAAACTGTTGTCCTCTCCTTGTTCTCTTCTCCTCATAACCAGAACAACATGTGTAGGTTATTTTTACACAAGATTACTTTAGGTTCAGCATCTCCTGTGCTCTTTGACAAGGTGCCAAAGAAAGAATGAGGGGAAAGAGAGAATACGTCTGCCAGATGGGTGCCAGCTCCCCCAGGACGCTTCACAGCCCCAGGTGCTGGTTTGCATCACACCTACACACTCTGCATTCTAGGCTGGGCTTGGTTTCAATACCCTATTTTTAGCCACACTTTCAAGAAAAGAAAACAGAAAAATCTCAGAATCTCTGCAGTTTCTTGAAGCCTTTGAGAAAGAGAAAGCTGAGGAGTGAGCAGGCAGGTGAGAGGGCCACAGTCCTCCTCCCTGCTGAAGGCTTCAGCCAGTACAAGAGATGTCTCTGCCTGTCTTCCAGTCCACATCCAGGAACAACAGCCATCGATTAGGGTAGGCCAAGTGCTGGAGAGGTGCATTCCAGGGTGGAACATGCTCCTGTTCTGCCCACAGTGTTGTCACAGGTGTAACTCCTTCTGTGTGTTAGTCCTCCTGCATCTGTCCCGATGGCAATGTGTGGTGCAGATCCAGCAATGCCCAGCCCAGCAGATCCAGTATTATTCACATGGGTCTAGTCACTATTTGGATAGGAGATGCAAGGAAAAACCAGGTGCTGCAGGAAGTGGTTTGGGTGATTTAGTAGGTGGCATCTTCCCTCTAAGTCAGCAGCACGATGAAACTCCTCGGCAGGGAGTTCAGGGCTCTGTGCTGCCGCAGGTGTTGCTATTTTAATGACATCCCAAGCTTACCACTTGTGGTCACCCAAGGTTCCACCTCTTGTAAGGGTGGAGGTGTTGGCTCTAGTGTCCTGAGCAGGCTCCAGTCTCCAATTATGGTCTGCTGAGCCAAGAGCTGCAGGAATTTCCGCTGGATGCATTATTCTTCACTCTCTTTTCCTGCTATGACTGAGTAAAACTACTGAGTAGTTTTCCCAGGTGCCAGAAAACAGGATTTACAGAGGCATTTCAAATTAAAATGCTTCCCATTGTCTTGAAAGAGTTTTTCTTGTTTTGCCTCACTGCCTCTCTGCTTAGGGTCCACCCCAATCCTAGTGTCTGCTTCACCTGGTTTGTTTAATTACTCAGCTCTTGGCTTTGCTCTCCTCCAACTCACCCTCAGCTGTGAATGTCACAGACATTCCCAGCTTTGGTTGAATTAGTGCATCACCCCAGCTCTGCTCTCCATCACCAACTAGGAGGGTATCAACTGCACCTTGGTCCTTGACAGGAGTTGCCAGCTGCCACCAGAAAAGAAATAATCAATTATGAGACTGACATTAACGAAATATGAGACTGGGACTTAGGAAAGACTAAGGCCATAGAAAGCATTTTAAATAATTCACCATCCTGAAAGTAAAGCATATTAGTGGGAAAGACATTCGGGTCCTTTCACAGTGACTTCTATGTAACCAGAGCTGATACTGTGAGCTGACAGCAAAATGAGACTAGTGCTGGGTAGGGAATCCTGGCATTGCAAAATGTATTTGTAAATCTTAGTCTCCTCCCTCCCTCCCCCCCCCAAAAAAAAATAAATATTTGCAAACATTAAAATATTTTGTTTTGGTAGCATTGTGTACAAGAAAACAAAATCCCAAATAAAATAAAAACACAAAATGCTGAAACAAATTGCAAACCCCAGAGACATGTGCTGGCAAAACATTCAGCCAAATCACTGCCTTCTGCAGAAATGCTTCTATTTTGGCAAGCCCACAGTTTTCCGGGGGTAGACTGATCCACCAGAGACTTCTGAACTCGCGGCAAGTGGGAACGGAGGCTGAAGAGAGACACTGCGTGGGAGGCGACGTTTAATATGTCGCCATTTCGCTTTTCTCTTGAAACCACTCCAAGGGCCGCAGGGAAGGCGTTCGAGAGCAGGAGCTGTGCTTTGGCTGTCTGGGAGAGCTGCTGCCAGAGGATGGGCAGAGCGTGGGTTTACCCAGAAAACCCCTGCTCAGTCACAAAAACCCCTGGAAGGGTGAACATCATCTGGGCAATTGTTGTGAATTTATCTCAGCAATTAAATGCAGTTCTGTTCACACAGCAGATTTATCTGTATTGGTTAAGCTAAGCTTAGACCAAGAGGTTGTTGAGAACGTTGTCCTGGTGGCACCCACCTCAGCTGCTTGTGGTGCTGGGGTAGCAGCAGGAAGGGACTGTCACAGCCAGGCAAGGGGCACCGTCATTATCTTCATTATTTTTGGCAGAGGTTGCTCTTCATAGGGCAAAACTCTTTCACTGTGGCTGGGGGACAGGAGTGAATGAACAATGCACAAAAGGCATAGGTTTGCTCACTCTCACCCTACACAACTCACCTGCACATAAACTGCAGGGCTGGATTACAGTCCTGGGTCAGCCCCAGACATGTCTTCTTCGGGATGGCAGAATGTTCCCAGCTTCCTTTGGAGGCTGTGTTGGCTTCTGGGCATCTATGGACACCTTGCAACAACAATGTCATGCAAAATTCAGACTCAGTTCCTTCCCTTGCCGTTGAAAGTGCCGCAGAAATCCCGGTGGGAAATTCCTCTGAGATGTGACAACACCTGTGGGACAACACTCCTGCCCACTTCCACCAGGCAAGGAGGTTCTGCTACTTGTAGGGGTGCTGTAGCCAAGTCAAGTGAGGAAAGACCTGTGAAAGAAACACCTTTTGTGGTTTCACCTTAAAAGGTCAGCTGTGTGACCTGTCATGCAACGTGCTCAGAACCTACCACAGGTGGTTAAACAGCCCGGAGTTATTAGATCACACATCGTATAATCCTCCCTGTACCTGGCAACGTGAGTAGTTATGACTCATAAATTCCAGTGGCGTTATGACTACCAAGTGGATGCAGTACACCAAAAACTCTCTTCCACAGCTTTCGCAACAGAAAACCACAAGGAACTGACACAGGCAGCAAAGGAGGCCCTCCTTAGGCTGATACCCATGTTTGGGGGCAGCAGTGAGAAGGTGGGTCCTACCTCCTTATTTTTAAGGACACAACAGGATTCCTCACACCCTTTTCCACCAGGATGCTGTGAGATGCACAAGCCACCTGGGAGGTGGCTTGGAACAGAGCAGTGACACTTCAAGGAGGGGAGGCAGCTTAGAAGGGTGTACATAGGAAGGAGATGCTATTAGCTGATTAGGAAGAGAGAAAGGGCAGAGAGAAGTGAGGCCTGTCTCCTTTATCTTGGCTCTGGGCTAGGGTGAGTCACAACAGGAGAGTTTGATTAGAGAGAGCTTGATTTGTGAAGTGGATGCAGTTAAAACCTTGGATCCTCAGGGTCAGTTTTAGCAGCTGCGTTAAACTGAATCAACTCCTGCCTCACTGTGTGCAAGTGAGGGGATGTTTTGGCTCCTCCACTGTCTTGGAAATGCTCTTGCGGCAGCTCTCCAGGCCAAGGCAAAATCCAGCTGAGCTGCTGAGGGTGAGCAGGAGCAATGTCTGTCTCCCTGAGCATAAAAACGGGAGCGCAAAACTGGCCTGAGAAGAGGTGAACTAATCCAGGGAAGAAAAATCCTTCAAAGACTATTCAATTCAAAGGCAAAAATGATGCCTCAGGAAAATCTGAAGTAAAAACTAGTGTGAGTCGGTAGCAGTATGCAGGAGACCTCCTGAAGGAGCTCCTGTGTTGTCTTCTTCCAGAGGTATCTGCTCTGGTCACTTTGCAAGAGAAGGAACGGGGCTAACTGGACTCTGGATCTGATTCCAAGTGGTTCTTACCTTAGATGAGATGAACAGTTGCCTATGGACACAGCTGGATCTCTGGAGAACATTGCAGTCACGTGCTACTGACAAGTGAGAAACATCAGCTTTGCCCCAGGCAGCACTACTGGGTCTTCAGGAGGAAGAGCTGGAAACTCTGGTGCCAGGAGCAGCCACTGCTTCCCAAAGCTCACCTGCCACCAACTCACACACCCCCCAGACCAGATCCAACACCTACCCCAAAAGAGAAGCACCATCGAAGCTGGGGAGGTGATTGGCCTCATGACCATCCATCCTGATGTCGTCACAGTTTTGCTCTTGAGATGCACCAGTGTTGCCAAGTCCACAGGTACAAACCCCCATTAAATATTTCATTTTCATCAATTGCTTGCAGTAAGTGCCTGTTGAGGAATTCATGGGAACATTTTCTATTTGACACAGAGATACTTTCAATCATGAAAGATGGCTAAAAATAAAAGGAAATTATACTGTTCAGACATCTCTGGAGGTGGAGACAGGAGGGGGAACCGTCAAGGAGAGCCAGGGAAGAGATTTTTGTTAGAAGTGGAGAAAGGTTACTTATTTTTACAGGCAGAAAATGCTGGGAGGCAGCCTGACTTGAGGGTCTGGAATCTGTCACTCACCTTCTCTATTAATAATTTGACCTCAACTATTTAGGGTCTGAGCCAGAGTACCAGAGTTAGGAGTCATGACAGTCTCTTTCTCTGGCTGCAGGGGGTTGGATCACTCCTAAAATTCTCAGCTGTATATTTTTTTTTTTTTAATGTGTGTTTTCCTTTTTTCTTTTTTTTTTCTTTAAAGTAAGACCCCAGACTGTGACACAAAGGAGACTCATTTTTTGTGGGATGCCACTGCTGAGTGTTGCCAAACCAGGGATCCCATCTATAAGATGGCAAGAGGTGACAATACACAGCCATTACCAATTGCTCTGTCACTTGGGCTGTGCAGGGAAGAAAACCTTACTCTGCCATCCTCCTCATTGAACTGCAACCTAATTTAAGTTCCTAACTGAACATATATATAACATATTGAGTGTTTTTTATCTGCTCTGGCCTCGAGTAAAATGTACGTCTTGCACTCCATACAGGTGATCAATGAAAAGGGGAGAGCTGGAAAGTAGGACACTGAAGCTGTAAAAGATTTTGTGTTTGTTATCTCTTGTTTCTTCTCTGTAGCAAATCAAAGACACTAGAAAAATACCAAAATTAACACAAAAAAGGCACAGTTTTGTTCTGTAGATGGGAGGTGAAAAGTCTCGAGACCTTTCTTCCCCTCTGTAGCACCTGTTTTTAGACTGGTAGGGGCTATGTTCCCTGAGCCACATACACTAATTTTAAATGATCAGGGGCTTAATTAGCTTGTATTTTGAGCAGCCATTTTAAGTTAAAAATATCGTTCATGTTCAGTGTTTTAGGAGAGCTAACCCAAATGGGAAAACATCTTCAGTACAGAGCATTTTCTGCAAAATCACCACTAAACACTGAAATGGTCCAATCAGTCCCTGTACTACTTCTTCTGTCTGCAGATGTGTTGAGCCCCAGGAGCTTAAGGTGTTCTTGCACACATTTTGGCCCTGTAGATTCAGTGTGAAATGCCTTGCACTTTTGCTTGTTCTCAGTTTCCTGAGATAGCAGGTAGTTGGTGCTTTCCTTCTAAACAGCTGGACCCAACAATTTTTTAGGGGGAAAAAGCCGTTCTCTGTTAACCAGCAGGATTTACCTGCCTGCTGCCACATTTAGAATGGAGCATAGAGGAAGACAGCAGGGTGATTTCGAGCTAGGCATCTTCTCACTGCACATAAACAGCTTTTTATCAGGACTATTCCCTGCCCCAGGAGGTTTGCTTGTGAGGGCTCCCTTCCCTCATGAGCAGCCAAGTGCAGCACAATGTTGTCCTGGGAGGCAAGAGACAACAGGAACCATAATGAAGCTGGATAGCAAGGGAGAGATGTTCTGCTGGAGCTGTGATGCAGCTGGCTTGTGATAGACCCTGACCTTCAAAGAAAGAGAGGGAAGAATTCAGACCTCCTGTGAAGAGCAGATTATTTCCCATTAGTCTTTCTGGTTTTTTCCCTAAAAATTTGTCATCTCTCTGCCAAATCTGAAGAATAATATTTCAAGTGAACATGCTCCATCCATAGCCTTGCCTGGCAAGTCACAAAATGACAGGTAAAAAGTACAATTACAAAGTAATCACGGAAAAAGCCTCTGCCACAGGAAATGACCCAGCACGGCACACAATCGCCTGGGAGCTCTGCATACCCTAAGCGTGGCTTTTCTGGGTACAATAAGCTGGCAAAGCTGCAGCTGTTCGATACGTGTGTGCTCAATTTAGCTCCTTCACAACCAGCAGCAATCTGTGGGGTTGCTCTGGAAATCACTTCCTGGTCCTGCAGCCTCTGGACTATCTCTTTGCTTTGAATTGCAAACCTTGAACAGCCAGCCCTGGCTGCAAAGGGAAGGGATGGTACCAGCTTCTCAGAGAAGGCTGGGCTGGGATTTTCTTCTCAAAGGAACCCAAATCCTTTTATATCTCATTCACCCTGTGTCGGTCTTCATTAAATACTTCAGACCTTGGGAAGCACTAATGTATAATAATAATAATTAAGCTCTGGAAATCTCTCTGGAACTAAAGAGAGAGCATAAATGATCCTAGAGTTGAGAATTGTGTGTGTCACATCTAAACAAGACTCTCTCCCATAACTGATGCACCTTTTTCTACGTAGCAGAGATGGAGCACATCTCCTTACTCTCCTGATGCCAGTTTCTGGCTGTGATAGCTCTCTTAACCCCAAGAATGCAGCCCTGCCTTAACAGATGAGCTATCCAAGGGCACCAGTTCATGTGCTCAGATTGCTGCTGTGCTTTTTCTAGGCAGCACCTGGGTTGTGCTCACCCCAGGAGCACTGCTGGATTTCAGCTGGCCCTCACTGGACCAGTAATGCTGCTTCTCCAAGGCTAGAGCTAACCAGCAACATGCACTGGGGTACAGCAGACACAGACTGGCTGCCAGGAGAGGCTCTTTGCTCAAAAACCCCAAGGAGAAGGAGTCATGTCTGTGTGACACCAGTTACACTGAAGCCAGATAACTGTGACAGTGGGATTCCCATCTTCCCTTTGCTTCCCTTTTTCATTACCAAAGAAACAAGGCAATTGTAACATCACCAGATGCACTTTTACTAGCTCTGCAAAGCTCTGTGCAACCTAAGCACCTACGTGGAATTACGGATGTCTTCAGATGCAGCTCAGGATGGAGAGTATGGTGGAGCATGCCCTCCATCAAGAGTCATGCCAGCATCAGGAGACATGTGGCAAGGGAATGCTGCAAAAATTGTCTGGTACAAGCAAGTCAGGGCTTGTGCTCATATAAGCAGGAGGAAGTTTGATGAACTACCTGGAGAGGCAGCCCAGTGGTGATGGAACTCTTGCAGAGATGTACCTGTTTCCTGTGACAGACACAGGAGCTCAGCTCCAACAAAGGACCTACCACACTGAGAACAAGGCTGATGCTGACTGGTGAAGCAAAGACAGGAGTTAAAACCTTGGCCTGAGAGAGGAAAAAGGTCTTTGTTTCATGAACAGTCCTCAAAGAGTGTCCCTTGCAAGAATGCAGCCAGCAAGATGAAATTGCCATTCATGCTTTTTAGAGATGTTCAATGTACTAGGAATTCAATTAAGAAAATGTTCCACTGCAGGAAGCTCAAAAATTATCATGATTGTAGAGGAAGGAAATGTTTTTAATATATTAATTTTTTTAAATGACATCACTACAGACAATGCACTTATGCTTGCAGCATCCAGGCCAGTAAGGACACCGGTTTCTTCAGCGATGGGGAAGAGTGGCAAGAAGGTTACAGAGAAGCAGATGCTACAAAGGAGGTTTTCTGCTGGATAAAGGGCCCTGAACTGTTGTCTAAAAGAGATAACAGCACTGGATTCCTTGGTTTGACCTGTAGTCTTCACCTGTAACTCCCTCTACATCTTTCCACTTCAAGAGCCTGACCTAGATGGGGGCAATATCCGTGGCCATCGTTGGCTCAAACAGGGCTGTGAACCAAAAGAGAAAGGGGTTTCTGTGAACTTCCCTCATATCCCCAGAACAGGACAGGGATTTACTGCCTACACGTTTTTTCGTGTTATATTTGCACGGTGCCAATATCCCCAATCCAGGGAGCATGTGGGTGGGTCCCTGCTGCTGCCTTCATACCTACGAAATAAAGCAAGGATACAGTTCAAAGCAAAAGGTGTTCCCAAGCACCTCCTCAAAATAAGTCTGGATGGGGGAGGTGGGTTGGTTTTTTTTATTTGCAAGGACAAGATATCACATGGAAAACCAGGAATAGAATAAATTGCAGGGGAAGGAGAGGAGGAGGAGGAGGAAATCACTCCTTTTGCATTTCTTGTTCCCTTTCCAAACCTTGTGCATGCCACGATTTTAATTAATAACTCTGTCACCCCTCCTAGAGTTCAAACAAAGGAGTATAAGGAGGATGTATTCCAGGCACACAGGTACCTGGGGAAATGAAGTGATGGCTTTATGTTTCAAGGCCTCATTATGAGGCTCCAGCTCTTACCCAAAACTTGTTCTCTGCCAGGAATTATCTGAACCACTACCTCAGGAGATCACTTTGAAGCTGGGTTCAATATTTAAAATTAAGAAAAAAATCAAATACATTGTTTGGAGGTTAATTGAAATAAACAGATGCACACAAACACAACCACCAGTGAGAACATTTATCTGCAAGGCTGCTTTGCCACTTCTTTCTTCCACCTGACACATGCTCATATGCAACCACTACCACTCTCCTGATACCTAGATTGGGAGCATCCTGCTCCCAGACCAGCTCCAAGAGGGAGAGAGAACTATCAGTGCCCAGTTTGGATGCTCTGTACAGAGCCCCAGCACTCAGACCGTTGTGCAGGCAGTGTGTTGTTTCCTAGTGGTGGCTGCCTGCTTGGCACATTCCCCTTTGACTTCAAGGAGGACCTCAGCTGTGTTCTGCTCTATCCAGGAGTGGCAGCAAACTCTGTGGTTTGGGTTTGCTGTAGAGCACTGGGCCCATTTACCTTTCTCTCTGCAGTTTGTTACCTGGCAAACTTGTGCTGCACATCTCAACATACTTCCCACCTCCATCAGGTAAGAATATCCTCCATTTTACAGGGTGGGAAAACAGGACCTCCCAAGACCACACATCTCTGCAGCCCCCACTGACCTCTTTATTTTTTGAGCAACTCCCCTTTGGGCAAGTCAAAGAGTAACTAAAACTATCTGCAAATAACTTCTGTGGAGGTAGCAAGTACCTCGTAGGAAGTTGCTGATGTGACACATTCAGGCTGTCACTGATCATCACTTTCCTGCACAGACAGTTTGATGATA